TAATCCTTTTAAAAGACGAAACGATCGCCAACAAGCTAACCACTAGGCGATGCAGCACTGAGTAAAGCAATTGGAAAAGTTACCAGCTGCATAATCGAAGAGGCGCTTTATATACTGCGGTTGTTCCAAGTATCGGTGTAAATACTTCAAATCACGCATGCTTTTTTCAGAACAGGGAACCGGAATTCTGAAGGAATTTGTCGCAAGTGAAGCTTGCCGTTGTAAAACGAATATATGCAATAAAGTTCGGAGTATATCGACGAAAATTTTGCATCTTACCATTGAATGCCCGAAGGATTAGCAGCAAGAACTGGTTGTCCGGAGAAAGCATCACCTGAGGCCGTCGAGGCCGATTCCGGTGAACCGAAAGAAGAAGCAGATGACGATGAGAAGTGCAAAAAAATAGTACCAACAGTAGTTCCTGCTGCTGCTCCAGATTTTAAAGCTGTTTCAGTTCATCCACCTCTTAGCATGACACAGTTGTTGTATGAGCAACAGAAACTGATACTCGCGCAACAGCAGCAGCAGCAACAACAACAACAACAACAACAGCAACAACAACAACAACAACAGCAGCAGCAGCAACAACAACAACAACAACTATCACCCGACAGCAGTTTTACTGCGGCCAGGATTCGACCCATACAGAATGGTATCTTTTTGTGCTCTAAGTAAAACACTCAATTATGAAATCCGGGCACTGACGATTTAGCATGATGACTAGGTTTCACATACAAGGAAAAAATGTCAGTTACTTTGGCTAGTCCTAGATCGCTTGTTTATCGGCTTGCAAATCACTGGCACAACAGTCTTGAAGACATGAACTCCTTGATAAGCGTACTGGGATTTCACTGGTATATGCTAAGCACTACCCCCCTCTCCCCAAACGTTGCTAACTTGCTAACAAAAAATCTTCGTGCAATAATGATTTCTCCTCCCACATGTCTGCTCTACTCTGTCAGTGTCTGCAGCTAAAAGATGAAACGCAGATGCTCTTTAACGTCCATCTGTGTATGTTTTGTTTATATACATGGTCCATGGCCCAAGTATTTGTATCATACAAAGCCGTTCAGAAAAAAAGAGAAGCGAACGGAGGTTGGCAAAATCAAGAAAGGGTTTCAAAAAATTTTGCATTTTTATGCATACTTTTGTCATTCTTTTGAAAATCCATCTTTTCAGGCTTTTCAGCAGCCGCACTAGCGAAATCGTGTGAAAAAAGCTCGTTTTTGAATTCTCCGTTTGCTATCGCGTCGTTGACTGCTACAAGTCCGCAGAACTATTCGTGCAGGTCGATGCAACGAAGAAGCGAACTTAGCAAGCG